CCTAATTGTGCATACTTAGCTTACTTTAACATACGCAACAAATAATGGTGCGCTGGTTTCCTTTGCATTGAAGACTCAAAAAATGACTGAAAACTCAAACACTCTCTGTCTGTAATTTTCTTTCTGTCCAGCTGAACTCTCCTGATATCATGCACTTTGATACCACCAACATCTTAAATTTAGTTCTATCAAATTTAAAGCCAAAAAAACTTTTAAATCAAGAATTGCATTATAGCTTAATGTGACAAACTTCAAAAGGCTACGATTTCCTTGAATAAATATGAACACTGCATGTTTCAAAGTCAGCTGCTGCACTGTACAGCCGTTACCATGGAAACTGCTATATTCTGATGCTCCTAATGTGACTCCTGCTGGCAGAGGAAGAATTTGCATTTTCAGTAAACCCTTCTGCTGTTTTTGTGCAGACCATTGCGAAAATTGACCCATATTTTTATGCAGCAAACGGTCAGTTGTAAATATGAACCGGTGGATCGACAAGACGCTAATGCTAATGGATTTTAAAAATCTAAACAATTAAGACATTAAGATATTTATATGTTATTAAATTAACATAATAATGGATTGGTAATCATTGTTTAAATTAATGTGATAATTGATACTTTTGACTTGTCCCTTTCCTTAAAAATGGTTTAAAGGCTGAAATGTGTGCTGAAAACTAAAAGATATTCAATCTGAAAAGTTATTCAGATTTTATAATAATTATATTTATACAAAGTCCCTTTGAGTATTCTATAGTCTTTGATTTATGCATGAAGCTGTGACATAGGTAATGGTTTATTTCTGTGTTTTTTTGGCTAGTAGAAGTCATGAATGGCTGTTAACTTAAAAATTTAGTAGCCAAATTGGCTGGTCAGTGAAAAAGTTAATTTCAAACCCTGGTTGTAATATAACTGCACTAGTTAAATTTCTAGAAAATACAGGTTTAATAAGTTGAATATAAGATATACAGTGGTGTGAAAAAGTGTTGGCCCCCTTCCTGATTTCTTATTTCTTGTGTTATCTTTTACTAATATTTAAATTTGTTTGATGATCTGAAACATTAAAGTGTGACAAACATGCAAAAAAAATAAGAAATCAGGAAGGGGGCCAACACTTTTTCACACCACTGTAGGTATAATTAGGAGGTGTATGGATAATTGTATATTTGTGTAAGAAAGTATGTGGATGTGGGATATGTGTATGTGTTTGTGTATAATCAGGAATGTAGAAATACAAATATGAATGTTATGAGTAATAATAGAAGTCAACATCAGGCTGCACTACCCCCTGTTTGTGTTGCAGGCGGCCATCTCCCCTGTGCACCTCAGCAAGCTAAAAGAGTTTTTTCCCTAAAAGAGCAATTACAGGGGGCGTCTTTGTAAAGACGACGTTGCGTGGCAAACTTGACGTTACGTCTTTGTAAAGACGATGTGGAAAAAAAAGGTCTTGCTATAGACAACGTATCACCCGGGCGTTTCGGGATGCGGTCGTTACCTGGCACTGGGTGATGGTCACGATCGCTGCCTCTCGTGCCTGGGCATCTAGCACGCTGAGGTGGCGTTTGTGGATGAGTCATGTTCTCATTGCGGGAAGATGTTCATCTCGGAGTCACAGGCCAAGCTCCGTTTCCTCAAAGGACTCCCAATGACCAGATGTCGATCGCTGCATCGGAGGGTGAGCCAGAACTTTCTGGAGAGGAAGATTCGGTCTGCGCTGCTGTCCTCCGGGACTGTAGCAATGCCTGAATCGGAACCGGAAATAACAGCTATGCTTTCCCGGGCCGCCGTGGGGGTAGGGCTCGAGTGGAGACTTCCACCGTGTCCCGAGCCCTCAAGGCTGCACGATTGGTTCTCGGGGTGGTCCGCGCTGGTTCTCAGCGCCCCGCCTCGGTGCC